TATCTTTCTTTCTTTCTTTCTTTCTTTCTTTCTATCTTTCTTTCTTTCTTTCTTTCTTTCTTTCTTTCTTTCTTTCTTTCTTTCTTTCTTTCTTTCTTTCTTTCTTTCTTTCTTTCTTTCTTTCTTTCTTTCTTTCTATCTTTCTTTCTTTCTTTCTTTCTTTCTTTCTTTCTTTCTTTCTTTCTTTCTTTCTTTCTTTCTTTCTTTCTTTCTTTCTCTCTTTCTTTCTTTCTTTCTTTCTTTCTTTCTTTCTTTCTTTCTTTCTTTCTTTCTTTCTTTCTTTCTTTCTTTCTATCTTTCTTTCTTTCTTTCTTTCTTTCTCTTTCTTTCTTTCTTTCTTTCTTTCTTTCTTTCTTTCTTTCTTTCTTTCTTCTTTCTTTCTTTCTTTCTTTCTTTCTTTCTTTCTTTCTTTCTTTCTTTCTTTCTTTCTTTCTTTCTTTCTTTCTTTCTTTCTTTCTTTCTTTCTTTCTTTCTTTCTTTCTTTCTTTCTTTCTCTTTCTTTCTTTCTTTCTTTCTATCTTTCTTTCTTTCTTTCTTTCTTTCTTTCTTTCTTTCTTTCTTTCTTTCTTTCTTTCTTTCTTTCTTTCTTTCTTTCTTTCTTTCTTTCTTTCTTTCTTTCTTTTTTTCTTTCTTTCTTTCTTTCTTTCTTTCTTTCTTTCTTTCAGGGAGTTGTACTGAATTATTTTCCTTAACTTTTGCTTTGTTGCGCGGCTAGGTCATGATTTATATGTAGTTAGTGCACAAAAAGCCGACTTAATTATCTTGTTTAGGAGACGTAGGAGCCAATATCTGCATGCAGTGCATTTGCGGAAAGTGTATGGTTTAACTGCTCAGAAATTGATATTGTTGCTACACATTATAACCCACACTCCGATTTCACGAGACAAGATTATTTGGCTTTTTCCTTACCCTCAAGCAATCAATCCTAGAGCTTTTTGAAATATCGCGATTGTGTCGCCTTTCATCAGGTCTTTTGAATTAAAGAGAGAATGTGAAACACATTTCATTCAGTCACGTAAACGTTGAGTAAAAACAAAGCGATGAACTGGGTATAGAACTTAAATAGATAAAAATCAAACTCTGAATAAAATTTATCTGTTTCCCTTTTCTTTTTTTTTCTTTGCTATTTTAAAGATGAAGGCAAGTTAGTCAGCAACAGTAAGTTGCTATCACCTTTACTTACCTTAGTCTGACATCTGTTTCTCAGTACAATAAAGTATTTTCCAGCCGATGAACAACCTATCTCGAACAACAGCTATTTGCGATCTTTCATTGGGGGTTTCACCGCACTTAAATATTATGATGAGAAAAATTTTCGGGAGATGTTTGGGAAAATTATTCCTTGATCTACTATCGTTGACAGCTCTTATAATTTGTGTCCTCCTGTACTCTTATACATGACAAAAGCTAGCCAATGAGCGCGCAAGATGTTTGAGAGATATTTTGCAAAACATTTTAATAAGAAAATTAGTTCTTGACAATTTGCCGCTCTAACACCTGTCTTCGTGCGAGAAATGTTGAATTTGTTTAGCTCATCTAGAACATGAATTACTGAGTTTTTTTTATATGAGTATATAGATTGGTGAAATACCAAATCTCTCCTGTCTCTGAAATAAGATCCGATGTCTCTCACTCAATATAATTACTAACACCCCGAACTATCGAAGATAGAATTCGTATTCCCGTAAGGCCATGTAATATCCTCTTTCGTGCTCAAACCTTACTATAATAACAAGTAGACTTCTCACAAAAAAATTTTCTTAAACTGTCATTTTACCCCTTTGGTAATCCTTGTCAGAGTTTGTCTAACACTTGTAAGTGTCTCCAGCTCATCACGTTCTTTTTTTTTTTAATTAAGAAATAAAGTTTCCTTCCGAGCCAATTTCGCACTAATAGGGAATTTGTAAGCTACAACGAACGGTAGAATATTTTGAGTTCTCCAATTGATAATGAATATGTATGGCCAAAGAAAGGTAAAGCGTTCAGCAACTTTGAATTACTCATCTTATATGAAACAAAAGGCCAATACTTCGCTTAGATTTTCCCCATCTGATTCAATCTTTACCACCTTATATACCTGCCAAAGCTATTTAGCTGCAGTCAATGTTTATTTTGCGATCAGTTTCCTTTGTCAAGTTTGTGCTTAGAGGATAAATTAAGAAAGTACAGAAATTTCGAAGTATTTGGCGAAGACGCCTGCAGTTCTTCATTCATGTCTTTTCACTCAACAATGGCATGGGAACAGGTCGTCAATGTACGCATAAGATATTCGACAAGCGGTGCGTGTTTTTGTAAGAAGATTATAAAAGTCACGGCCTCGAGCAGACTGTGAATTGTTTTTAAAAAGGAATGACAAGGCCTCAAGAAATGATGCGCGTATGTCCTGCTCGAATTGAGAAACATGATGGATCTAGGAATGGAGGTTTCCGCTTTTGAATTTAATGTTTTTCTATGATGTTGCTATTACAGTTTCCACTTGCGCAATTTGACATAGAACTAAAAAGTACAGAACTATATGACAATACATAGCAATATAATTACACTTCAATAATTTGATACTCGATTCTACTAAAGTAACGGGACGAAACTTTTTTAACTAGCCCACATTACTGAGATATCGCTACAGTAGTAATCGCTGGGGCTTTATATGTTATAAAGGTATCAAGAATAAATTATATTTTATTTTGATAAATATTTTCTCCGCTGAATTGTCGTAGGTCTTTAGTCAGTTTAGAGTTAGGTGTATTAAGTCACTGTTACCTTTCTCTGGCCTTCTTTTTAAGAACAGTGCATGTTGCATGGGAAAGCACGTTATTCATCGCATTTTGCTTTCATACATTTTTTTTTGTCTTAATTTCTTTTCACTTTCGATTAATAAAAAGAGCCGAGGTAATTTCATTTGCTCATAAGAGCAATCCAAATCATATAATCATCAATGATTGTGGTGTGATTCGTTTTCATAGTCGGGATATTGAAACTCTCGCCAATTATCAAAGATGAACTAACAGTCTTAGTAACATGATATCATGACTAGAAGAATTATGACTCTTTGCAAAGCTTTTACATGCTAGTAATCTTGGCTCTGGAAGTCATCTACATACGTTCATTGCAATATTTTGGTTGCGTTATTTAATTATATTTACCCCTCGTGCATTTAATAACGGCCCACACGTTCCATTTCAGGCGCCTGCTCTGTTTTTGATATTTGTTCCAATTCTACGCTTTGGGATCGAAAAGGAGGAACGCGGAGAATATTGACTCTTCGGAAACAGTTCGGAAGACTTTTCTTAAAGGCATGTCGAAATTTTTGATTAAAGGTAAGATAAATGTAAGGATTACTACTACTGTAGGTAATTGCTATCATGATAAGAAATCTGTCAGCGTTAGATTTTACTTCTACGAAGCCTAAAGATGTTAAAGCGAGGTTTACGTCGTAAGGAAAACAGCAAACTATGTACAAAACAACAATAACAATCATCATGATGGAAACTCGTCTTGCTATCTTTGTCGCACTGTTTTGCCCTTGATTCTGGTTGGTTTCCTCTCCTGGTATCTCACGAGACCACAGTGTTCGACAAACTATAGTGTAGAGAACTGCCATTATTATTACAGGAATGAATACATTTACTATGGCTGAAATGGAGCGAGGTATTATCCACTTATCGGAAACAGTGCAGTAATAGTTTGGCTCGGCTTTAAAGAGCATTCCATTTACAAGGACATTTGTCGAGCCGGCAAGAGACCAAATCCACATAAACACCACTGTTTTCCTTAAGTGCTGAGATAGAGGCGAGCGCCTCAACGGTTGAGTGACTGCATAAAAACGCTCAACAGCAATCGCTACCAGAATCCAGCTGGTAAACAGAGATGGGATGACCAAAATCGAGAGAAAGGACCTACAAGTTATTGTAGTAAAATTTCCTCGAAACCATATATATCCCAGCTGGTCTGTTTGGAGAGTTATGCCTATACACCCGATCAATGTAAACCAAAGATCAGCGCATGCTTGGTTCAAGATCAAGTAATTTATTGTTGTCTTCAGGGAGTCATCTGCTCGTATGATGTGAATTAGGACTGAGTTTCCGAAAAGGGAAGCCAGAAGTATTAAATACGTCAGCAAGATTAGAGAGGACATGTTTAACTCTACTTGACACTTTCCTGTGAGTGAAGGAGAAACCGTCAAATTACTATACGCCTTTTGTCTACTGTCGCTAGTTAACCGCTGTATAATGAGTCACTCAAAGGTTTCGTTACGTTTGAGTTAGCAGCGTCAAATAAATATGGCTCCTCTGTTCTGATCTTGAAGTCTTCCATATAAAACGCTTGTACTCACTTGCTAAACAGCTGGGCGAGAAATTGGCGAAAGGAACGAGGGACTTCTGATATACCTGACTCCCGCAATGAAGCCTCCTGACGTTTTGTTTTGTAAGCAACTCAAGGTATTGAAGGAGAATTTTTAATCTCGTTTTACCTGCTGATCTAGCCTTGGAACCATTTCAATTATTCCGAAAAAAGCTCATGCCTTGGTTGTTTAAGGGTTCTTTGCCAGAGTTAAGTCTGGATGATATTAAGGGCGATATAATTTCTGTTTGGGTATGGTTTGAAAAATTTAACCGGAAGGCAATGTACCACAAATGAAAGAGTTAACTCGTCAAAAGGATACTAGGCTCAGTTAAGAGCTTCAGACTATACACACTATCTATGTGAAGCTTCGTTTCTTGTTTTAATCAATAATAGTATTGCGTTACAAGTTTTTCTTACCTTTGAGTTCAGTTCCTTTGGTCAATCTGAGAAGATAAAATCCGGCAATATTTTCAAGAGGACAGGTTGAGTGAAAAACTTTCGTTTCCTGTTCAGTGATAACAATGGTTTACAATATTTTTATTTTCGTTTTAAAGCTGGCTTGAATTTTAATTACAATAGATGTACCTTTGTATTCACAATTTCAAACAAGGTACGATGTTTGTCAAAAGCTTTATAGTGTAAATGAAACTCGAGTTGAATCATCGGAAAGTAAATCGAAACGAAGGTTAAATGTTGGCGACTTTTTATAATACCAAAACTTCCCGTTCTTTGTACTAGAAATGACAGTAAAGAATAATGGCAGTAAACGAATAATTCAAGACTTAGTTAAATCTGGAAGCTAAATAATGTAGACAGCTTTGATCTATAGTCTTTAAAAAGGGATATGGACAAATCGTGCAAACCCCTACTTGAATAATTTTTTTCATTTATCTCCTTAAGCAGAGAGAAAGGGAGTCGCTGTAGAATCACTTATAGCTTGCTGTTCTATAAAGTGTTTCTTGTTTACTGAAACCATAAGTTTCATTTAACTGAATCCTATATAAGCAATTACGCTCTTTGCTGGTGGTGTCTGTCGTTTGATAATTAGTTCTACTCTAACTACAAACAACGTACCCTATTCCCTTTTCCATTATAGTGCATTCCGAAATGTCGATCGACTGGGTGGCCAAGGCAAGGGATGACGCAGGTTGTTTCTTATAAAATTAAAAGTGACAGAAATGTAATGTCTTTAAAGGAAGGGTAGGTGCTGTAACCACGCTGCAAAATTTTTTTAATACCACTGATGTTTTATGCATAGAACCTTTAAATCGTGTTGACTTTAGTAGCGATCGAAATTTTTTTGTAAGAAAATTTGTCAGTCTTGCACTCTTGATATAAAGTTATCACTCAGTGCCGGGACTAAACATGACACGGTCTTTAAGACTTTGTGGATGTTCGTTCTCATTACTTTTTGGACAGAACCCTATGCTATGTCTGCTGTTCCTTGTTTTTCAAGCCGTGCGGGCTTGTGGATCTCATACGCTTCACGTTCCTGAGAATTTTGCTGTTTTTATCTATTAAGATCCTTTTTTCAGATTTCTTTTTTTATTAGTCGAATATACACCTAATACCCAACTGAAATTCCCACTGTAACAACAATAACGCATGCCTTCCCATTTTGTCAGTACTAATGACACAAGAAACAAGCAACAGGGAAAACATTATACTCAACAACTTTAATGTGATTTCGGTATACAAAGGCAATGTGAACTTTATTCAGCAACGTCGCCCTTCATGTTTGTATGCTATTAAGCTACATGTTCTTACCTCTGTTTTAGTTCTATGTGTTGTGAACAAACAGAAATATGTGTGTCTTGAGGTGGGAAACGGCAATTTGACAATATCTTTTTACAGGCCTTGCGAAAATTTTGACTAAATGTGAGGTAAACGTAAGGATTGAGGCCACTGAAGAGAGATGGTAGCCACATAACCAAGAAAAGTAGTATTCCATTTAACTGTAGATAATGGTGAGAATTTAAGAAGAAAAATGTAAACAAAGTGAACCAGCAAAAGGCGTACAATACTACCACTGCAATCATCATTACGGTGACTCTTTTTGCTATTCTCTGAGCCTCGATCTGATTGGCTCCTTCTCCTGGCACTTTACGTGACCAAAGTTTGTAGCACACTGCCGTGTAAAGACAGACTATTACTAGAAAAGGTAACAAGACACCCACAGCGAGATGTATATCGTTAAGGATGGTCCACTTATTTACAAGACGATATAAATCGCAATAATAGGATTGTCCAACTTTTATAAAGTTCTCACCGATAACGATGGGTACCGACCAAGCGAGAGACCATAACCAGAGAATAAACATGATTTTCTTTAAATGCTGAGATACAGGTGACTTTCTTAAAGGAAGAACTACTGCGTAAAAGCGGTCAACAGCAATCACTGCAAGGATCCACACTGAAAAGTCAGGCAATGAGTATACAGACGTCATATACACCTTGCAAGTTATTAAACCTATAACGCCCCTAAGCCATAGGCTGCCTGTGAAACTGTGATAAAGGAAATTCACTGGCTCAGACAATGTTATGAAAATATCGACACATGCTTGGTTCATAACCAGATAATTTGTCGTGGTCTTCAAGGAGTTATCTGTTCGAATGATATAAATGATAACTGAGTTGCCGAATAAAGATGATAGAAATGTGATGGTGTAGGCCACATACATCACCAGATTCAAATGACCTTGTTCCTTTCCACCATCCCTTGTAGCATTCCCTAAAGGGTAAAGAAGTAAATACTTCTGGTAACATGTGAGTTTACAAACAAGAGAGAACATGATTTCATATCTTAAAAGTGTTACAGTATATTCCTCTTGCTTTCTAACTTTCCCATCCTCGGGTATACGTTAAGGTACTCGTAAGAACTGTAGCTCCGTTACTAGAAGTGAAATCTTCAAGCATACATTTTGGCATATTTTCAATTTTCAGCCATGAAGCTCCATTTGATAGAAATTTAAAAAAGCTAATAGACCATATTTCTCTTAAAGGTGCAATATGTACCTGATATGTTCATGTTCTTAAAGGAAGGTTATTCAGTAAGTGGCTTGACGCACCGCAATAGCGTGTTCAGATGTGCTTGATTAACATGTATATCGTACCTTCTTTGAGAATAACGCTACTGGAGTTGGACATTGACTCTACATCGATACTGTCACTCTTTGAAAAGTTCCATAATTCCATTTTTGGCTCGGGATGTTCTGAAGATAAGATTTGCATTCGAAAGAAAGATTTCTTTTTAACTGCCTCAATTATATCTTTTTATCACAAATGTCATTTCCCGTTGTAAATGTTAATTATTCTCACTCAAGATATGATTTGTATTACCACTGATACATACTCTTAACACCCATTGTTTAGTTTGAAATTCTAATTAAAATTTTGTCGCTCCAAATTCAAGCGAGTTAAAGGCTCTGTTTTGAACAAATCTATTGTTTGAAGAGCCACTCTATGGAAGAAATTATGAGCAACGTGTTTTGGGTTATTTTAAGATTTCTTCCACGAGTTGCAGTAATAAACATTTTATTTAAAAAAAAGCATTGTACTTGCGAAGATTGTACTGAAATCGATAATGTGTTCCTTTAAATGCAGTTCACTCTGTGCGGGCAGATTATTTTACTTATATTGTGAGGTATCAATGCTGTTTGGCTAAAGAGTAAGTAAATAGACCAACTAAGGGTGTTGAGAATGTCTTATCTATATTGCTTACTTTTTCATAACCTTAAAAATGATTTTTTCTTACCTTAGATATAAAATCTATTTCTATCAGAACTTCCCTTTCTTCTCGGCGATAGGCAAGCTGTTTTGATCACCTATTACCATTTTTGATAGATGGTTCTTTCCCTGCTGGCAAACTATAATAATCAATTAGAAGTTTTCGTTGACATTTTCCTTTTGATGGTTCCATGTGTTGACGTTCTTATTGATGACAATAGTTAGCCAGTGAGAGAGAGACCACTTGAAAAATATTTAAACAACAGCAGTTCGCTCATTTTAGTTTGCACTTCAACCATCAACACTTCGTGTGCACAAACAAATTCGTTGCATTTTCATTTGTAGTTGTTATGTTCCCATATAATGAAATCCCAAACATGATATATCGCAACTGCCAGAGAACGTGAAGAAACTATGTAATGCAGTCGAATGTTCTTCATATTAAAACTGGAAGTGTCTATTCTTTCCCTTTCTCAGTTTAGTGAAATGAATTACTGACTCGACGACCAACGGAGATCAAACTGTGACCTCGGGAGTGCTGTGAAGATGTTAATAGATTCTCTCCTGGACACGATGCAAACTAACAAATTGCTTTGTTTTTCCTCTTTTTTGAGAAAATTTCAGATTAACCAACGAAAGCACAAGTACATAACCGACTATTGAGTGACACAATATTTAAGCTGAAGAAAGAAAATTATCGAGATAACATTTTAGACCCCGTCTAAAACGATATGCCTGCGTTTTAAAATGTCTACACTTTGGTGAGCGTTTTTCGATTCGATTTGCGCCATTTCGGGCTGGTGCTAAACCATGAGCAAAAACAGCTAAACGTGCGTAATCTTGTGTGAAACAAGGCTAGTACGGGAGGCCTGGAAAAGAGGTTGCCAGACGCCATGACGTCATTCAACGTCCTCCATCGTTTTCAACTAAAGCGATATGCCTGCGTTTTAAACTTTTTTATATCGTTTTGGAATCAATTCGTTTTCATTTGTACATGGAAAAAATTTTCAAAACTTGAAAAAAGGGGAAATTGCAAATAGCGCGCGCGCGCTGTCAAAACTTCGTCTGTCTTCTATGAGGCTTTCTTCGTGTAAATAATATGATTTCACTTACAATTTTGTGTAAGTAAGCACTTGCAAATTTTTTAAAGACTACAAAATGCACTCACCCTATGGGCTCGTGCAGTTTTGTTGCTTTTGAAAAATTTATTCGTCCTTATTGACACCAGATTGTACTCGAAATCATGTTACCACCTATACAAAAGGCATCCGTTTTCAAGCATTTTAGAGTGAACTGAAGGCCAAAACACATCAAAGAGTATCCGTTTGCAAACGAAAACACATTATTATGGACGTAGTCTCAGTCCTTGCAAAAAAAATGTGCTCTTCACGAATATCGTGTGGAATTGGAAAGGCTACGGAAATAGGGGAAGTGGTCAAGTTATTACAATAAGGAAGCAAAAGTGAATCAATATTGTACAACGTAAAGATGAATTGTGTTTATTTGAAAGGAGTGTTAAAGCTGATTTTTGTTTTAATTTTTTAAAAAGAGCAGGTGTTCAGGATTATTAACATATTTCTATCTCTTTTTAATCAAATCCAGGGTTGGCAAGCCGCACCTTTTGTAGTCGAAGAATAAACATAATAAATTTTGAGTGAACTTAATTATACCATTGGGATGATTCATTTTCAACTGCAGGCTGTACGAAAATGAATTAGCCTTCGCAATTTTTTTTGTAATTACTTTGTATATTTTTCTTTCTTTCAAATAATTGGCAACAATAGGTTTTGCGATCTGTCGTTTTATTGCCTTACCAATGAAACGTTTGGCCTCTTTCCTCCACCATGCCACTCACAATAATGATCTCTATTTACCGACTCTATCTTTTCACCTAGGTAGGGTAGTTTGTTGTTTTTGTGATTCGGATAATTTCATTCGAATTCATTAAAAATTGAGATCCCAAGCATATCTGTTTAGTTGCTATGTCGTCGTCGTTTTTTAAACGCTGTTTTGCATTCAAGTCGTTTGGTGTAATTGAAACCTTATTGAAACATATCCGGCCTTTATGGACATTGCAAAGGAAATAGAAATACCACTCCTCGTAGCCTTAAAGGTTGTAAATGACATTGGAATCAAATTGATAATCAGGCTAGAGGAAATGAAACGTTTTACGACAAAGACCGAATGGCAAATTAAAGAGTCCTGACAGCAAGTCAAAATGCGATCAATGTCCATGGTTTGCGTGATCAGAACGTGGCTAATGTTATTGTGGCGTGATATTTTGAAGCTTTATTCAATAACTTCTAAGCGATTCCAGACAACATTTATTTGTTGCTTACTCCCTGCTAGGTCTTAAAAACAAGATGGAGCAGCTTGTGGTTAAAAAAAGCGCTTTTCTGCTTTGTCGAAGAGCAAAGGGAAATAATGGTGGAGCAAAGGGACCGGTTGTTCAAAGGTATATCTGCAGTGTTTACAAGAAGTAAAGTCACATTGTCATGAATTATCGCCAATAAGTTATCGTAAATAAAACTGAATTAATAAAAAATCACGTTGTCTTTCACTTCGGCAAAGTAAAAGCGAGAAATGATTATCATTTCAGCATCTTTTGTTGAAGATTTATACTCTCGGATGTAAACGGAAAAATACGAAGATTTGCAAAAAAATTTTTCAGTCCATTTTTTAAAGTTGACTCCAAAGGCTCAATCATAAAGCCAAGATATAGCAATGCCCTTATAATATCGAAAGATAACTCGTAAACGAGGAACAAAATAGCGATTGCGATCATCATCCAGGTAACCTTCACTGCTTTCGCTGTAGTTAGCTTGGAGCTGCCGTTGGCTTTAACTAGCTCCCTCTCCTAATGGGGCCACAGTTTGATGCATATTATTGTGAAGAATTGATGAAAGCGTCAAAGTGAAGAAAACGCCAAGGGTTAGTGATATAACACTAAATGCTGTCCATTCAAAACATTCAAAGAGCCTCTTCAAATTACAGAAGTAAGATTCCTTTTCGCTGTCCCCGTTCTCGTGACCAAAAACTTTTGTCGAAGAAATGACAGAACATGTCCACAATATCGCAATTACTTTGTTATGTGTCGAGAAATCGTCATCCTTTCCAAAGGTAATGTTCCTCTGAGCCACAATGCCAGGTAAAAATTAACACGAACAGTATCCACAAAATACATGAATGTGATTAGAATTAAGATCTGCGCAAGCTTGGTTTAGGATCAAGTACTTTATAGCAGTATTCATGGCTGTGTCTGTTCGTATGATGTGCAAAATATAAACGCAAAGGTCGTATCGTATTCAGAATTGACTCGGTAGAAAAGTAGCATATGGTATTTTGATATATATCCTGACATTTGTTTGTCTTTCATTTCTCTCATGTGAATAAATGCATCCGAAGAAGACGCCGTCAAGTTGTGTGTCTCAACACATCACTGGACAATAATAGTAAAATTACCCAAGAGAAAAAAATAATATAGCCATGATACTAGGTTCTACATTTGACCGCAGAAGCCATTTAAGATTCCAAGCAATATGAGTTTTTTCCAACCCGACCTGATTAAAAGTTTGGCTGAAATTTTACAAGTATTTACATTTCCACCTCTTCACTCTATACCTATAATTAAGTTGTTTCACAAAAAGCGGTACCAAAATAACCACCTAGCCACACTCTAACGGTTTTGACTTTACATCCCAAGTTAGTAATGCTTTTTAGATCTGATGTTTTATTTTTGTGATTTCTTCCTTCTTACTGTGACGTAATGAGTCATTCCTCGTCTTTGTTGATCTTCTAAAAACCTTATTTTAGCGATATGCAGACCACAACGAAAATAAAAAAAACCAGAACAAACCAAAAAAATTTTGATGAACCTTTCCTGCCTTAGTGGGATGTCGAAAAACTTCATCCGAGAAGAAAGGATTTTTGACATAATAACTTAAAAGAACGAGTGATCATGTCCACAGTGTAGGAATTACTTTGTCTGTTTGAGATGAAGGGAATACTGACATGAAAAAATTAGGTACTAATAAGGTCCATGCATGCAACTGAAAAAGTTCACAGTTAGTCAAGCTAATAGGCTTTTTCCGACCTTTTTTTTTCGTACAATGTACCTGGCTGAGTTGTTGTTGTAAATAATACATAATTTAAAACAGGATTATCCACCGGTAACATGTGAGTATAGAGAAAAACCTTTCTTTTGCTATAACTTGGAAGTTGGCCTTGGTGGTGAGAGGCTCCTTCTCCGGATGCTTGATGGGGCCAGACACATATTCTTATGCACAGAATTGCTAAAAGATTTAAAGAGAAGAAAACGCTAACAGCTAAGGATGTCATGTTAAATTCTGTTCATACATAAATATCCAGAAGCTTCTGCAAATAGCAGAAGTAAGATTTCTTCTTTGTGTCCCCGCAAACATTTGTCGAAAGAATGAAAGAACATCTCTACAGTATAACCATTACTTAAT